TCCCTCAAAAGAAATATTAAGAGATGATGATGATGATGATGATGATGATGATGATGATGATGATGATTTAATATTTGCTTAAAGCTGTAGAAATGCACCAAATTTGAAGTATGGAGTGGATAGGAGTATAAGCAATTTATTTCCCTTTTTTATAGAAAGGGAGATGAAGAAATGCTTGTTTCCTCCTCATTCTCAACATTAAGAAGCCTGCAGGTTAGAAGATGATTGCATATCACCTTTGAGCTGCTTCTGAAGAATTGGGGAGTGGACCTGGTAATGGTATGGAAGTAGCGTTAGTGTGGAAGCAGAGACAGCTTTTGGGGTTCAATGCCATTTAATGAACCCTCCTCCCCTGGTGTAGGGAGCCATGAAGATGGCCTTGAGGGAAATATTCAGAAGGCCTTACAAAAGCAAAAGAGGAGATAGTGTAGGAAGAGACTCAGGCTGACTCCTCCCTGACTCAGTGGGGTATAAGAAGAAGGGGAGGCAAAGCACGATCAGATTTGCAAGATTTTTTAATATAACAGCTGTCAATCAAGCTTAGTTGCAGTCTTCCTGTGGAGTCAGTTTCCTGATCTGGACAACCTCAAGGGGCTGATACTCTGCATTCACTACTTCATAATGCATTCAGATAATCATAATAATCTCTTGCTTTGCCTTCTAGATCTGTCCCATTCCTCCTGAACCTGATGTCCTGAAATGCAAGTTGTAGAAGGCTGGGGGGGGAGGGATATTTTTTTTATTTTTGAGGTTATTACTGAGTCTGGTGTAATCTTATCGATCTGTTTTCCCCCTCCATTGGGAAGATATTGTAATCTCAGAAATATCTGATGTAAATTTTTTCAGAAGAGTGTACAAAATCCTAATGCCTTCCTACAGACTTCTAGTAAGACATTTTGATACAACTACCACTTTGCTGAGTTTCAGTTTATCACAATCAAAGAACAGCCAATACAACTTTGTTTCAGAACTTGAAGGTTGGGGATGGGGGTATTGTAGGACCAACCAATCCCAACATTTTCAAGTGGAAGCATCCTGTATCCACCCGCTAATGCTTCAGTATCTTCACCATCTTAGACCATTTGCAGAGCACACAAAAACCCATGTAACACACCAACCTAAACTACTGATCTTTGGCATAATACTAGACTGCATCAATTAAGTACTTCAAAGTGTGATAAAGCAGATGTGCATATCTAGGGTTGGGAGTGGGAATGAGGCATCTTTTCACCTACAAGGCCAACTGGTCTGTCCCTCCTTCCGTTTGCTTTCTTCAAGCATATAGTGCCCAGAGTGAAAAACAATAGCATTTTAGCAGGTCCCATCCGCCAAGGAGCTTCATCTGGTGGGACCGAAGAGAAGAGCCTTTTCTGCTGTGGCACCCGCCCTCTGGAACATCATGGGGAGGGGAGATTGGCCCCAAACTATTGACCTTCCAAAAGTCCCTTAAAACCTGGTTTTGTCATCGGGCCTGGGGATCCCATGGAAATAGGGAGCCCTCTAAATGCTTATATTTGTAAGTTTGGAGTGCACTCTCCTGTGTTTTTTGTTTTATTATAGTTTTAACTGTTTTAATTGTATTTTAATGGTTGCTTTTATTTGGTTTTTCGTTCTTTTAATTGTGCGCGCCACCCAGAGTCACAAGTGTGAGATGGGCGGCTATATATATTTAATAAATAAATATGTAAATTTTGCATTCCCATTACAGGCAACATCTGGTAGAGCTGGGTGGATTGGTTTTAAGAGTCTGGGCAAACAAATGGGTAGCAGGAACAGGGGTGGGGAAATGAGGATCTCTTTCCGAAGGTCTCAAGAACCTGAAATCAGCACCAAGCAGGTGGAAACTTAAGTGGCAAAACTCTGCAAGCCTTTTGCAGGGAAAATTTCACTCTGAGAATTCAGATTTCTCCGTTTGGGACTGTTGTAACTCCTATCTTCTACCTGCAGACTCCCAAATTTGTATTTTACTGGCAATGGGTGTGTGTGTGTGTGTGTGTGTGTGTTCTTGCTGGGATTATGTGAATTGTAGAAGGTGAAAATATTTTGATGGTAAATCACTGATCAAGTGGAATTTCGACTTCTTCCACTGAGTCCTACGGGAGAATCCCATAGGAAAAGAAGAAGGAATAGAAGGAACCAGGAATTTTCATTCACCCACAGCAATGGAGACGCTCTACCCCTCTCAGTCCATCTCCGTGGTAGCTCTCTCTCAACCGGGGACCGGAAGTGGTGATCTCTCTGGCGCCTCACCCTGGCCGCTGTAGTTTTAATTCCATTCAAGGGGTCGGTACCATAGACGTATATAAATTAGAGTGACACAAACAGTCGGTAATGAATATATGAAAGGTGACTAATTTTTTTTCGGTTAGAAAGAGGGGCGTGGCGACTTTAAGCACTATCTATTCATGACGACGATGATGATGATGATGATAATACTAATAAATTAAATCTGTATATTGCTGGGCTCCCAACGACTCTGGGCGGTTCTCAATTAACTCAAAGACTCCTCTTTGCCTCCTGGAAAGAAACTGAATCAGAATCTCCCTGGTACAATAACAGGCTCTGCCGTTTCCTCAACGAACGAACCACGTCGCGCCCAGTCGGAGTCGGGCTCGACTCTACACAGTCGTACGTCTAGACCCAGCGCCTTAGCTGGGTCCTCCCCTCCTAATGACGTCACGGCGCTCCCCTCCGCCTCCCCCCGGATGAGCTCATCTCCCCGCCCACGCGGGCAGCCGCAGCGCGGAAGTGACGCACGCGGGCAGTGAGGACGGACGTGACGCAGGCGGCTGCCAGGCGGTGGAGCGCTCCAGCTGAGGCGTCTCTCCCCTCGGCTCGGCGCGGCCCTGCTCTCGCTCCGGTGCCCCTCCGCC